TAATTTTCTAAAATTGATACTTTCTATTCCTGTCTTTCCTACTTTTCTTGCTTCATCTATTTCTTTTCTTTGAATGAAACATTGCATTAATTTAATCCATTCTATTGAATTATCTGGGTCTTTTTCAACTCCTTTTTGACATTCATCTAAATCTAATACAATTTCTTCACTTTCCTCTTCTTCTTCCATACTTCCTTCTTCTTTATCTTCTTCTTCCATATTTTCTTCTTCTTTATCTTCTTCCATACTTCCTTCTTCTTTATTATTATCTTTACCTTCTTCTATTTCTTCTTCCTCTTCCATAGTAGTATTTTCATGTTTTTCTTCTTCTTTAGTAGGATCATCCCATTCTATGTTAGCCTCATCTTCTACTCCTTCTTTAAATTCTTCATCTTTCATTTCTTCTTTAATTGCAATATCTTTTTCTTCATTTCTTCTTTTTTGTTCTTTTCTTTTTAATGCTAATTTCCATGGATCAATAGCTATTGTTTCTTCTTCATCTTTCATTTCTACTTCTCCTACATCTTCTGGTTTGATACTAAAATTAACTCGATGTTTCTTCTTGTCAATATGAACTACTTTTGCCATTATGACATCTTTAATTTTAAATCTCTTTTCCATTTCTTTCTTTGTTAATTTTTTATCTTCTATTTTACTACAATGACATAATCCTCGAATATTAGAATTAAAGAATCTTAAAAACAATCCTTCACTTGTAATATTTACTATAACACATTTAGTTACTATATTTTCTTTGATATCTTTAAAGTATTTAATTATTCCTGGATAAATAACACTTTGTTTTAATGTTCCTTCTAATCCTTCTTTATCAATGATACTTACTTTTACTAATCGTTGAATACAAAAGATTCTTGAAAAATCTTTCCCATGATAACTTGTATTATCTAATAATTCTCCTGGTGCTACATGAATAGTTACATCTCTTGATACCATTACATCAACTCCTTCTTCTTCACTACTTTTTATAATATATCCTGTTAAAATTTCTCCTTCTTTAATAGTATCTTTTGTTACAATACGTGTTTGAACTCCTCCTATTAATGGTGGGAATATTTCATCATAAGCTTCTTTTAAATATTCTTTTCTCATTGAACATAAAATTTCGGGTTTATTTGAAAGTACATACATATTAATATATTTTCCATTTTGTAAATAATCTCTTGGAAATGGATTAAAAACATTACTTATATCACAATAATGAATATATCCTATTCTATTTCCTTTAATTAATACTTTAATTTTTAATTCTTTTGTATTATTACCAATAACTTCTCCAACAATAATTTCTCCTTCTTTAATTTCTTCTTTTTTGTCTTTTATTAAATAGATATTTTCTTTACTATAATATCCTTTAACTTTTATTTTATCTCCAACATTATATTCTTTTTTATTTATATTAATTTCTTCAATATTATCTCCTATTTCAATATAATTTAATTTTCCTTTAAGTATTGAATTAAACGAAATTATATATCCATCTTTCATTTCTCTACTAATAATTCCTTCGATTTCTTCTCCTTCTTGAATTTTTTCTTCCATATTTCCTTCTTCCTTCATACTTAATTCAACTATTTCTATTCTTCCTTCTATTTCTTTTCCTTTTTCTTTAATTATTTCTCCTTTAACTTGTATTCCAATAATATAACATTCTATTTTCTCTCCTATTTCTATCTTCTTTGTACTATTAATTTTATGTAATCTTCCTGTAATTCCTTTTCCTAAATTTAAATAACTAATACTTTCATTTGTATAACTTACTACTCCTTCTATCTTCTCTCCAATATTAATTGTATTATTTTTAATGAAAAAGATGGTATGATAATCAACAAGAAGTATATTCAATTAAAAAGAAAAAGATAATTGAAAAGACGAAAGAAGAGTTTAAAGAAAAAACAAAAGATTGGGAAGAAAAAGACATTAAAGCTATAGAAGCAGAAATTAAAAACAAAAACCCAATTAAAGAAATGAATGATAGATGTAAAATTGCAAGAATAATAAATAACAAAGAAAGTATAAAGAAAATACAAGAAGAAACAAAAAATAAAGAAGAAAAGATAGAAGAAGAAAAAGAAAAAGAAGAAATACTTGCTCTGAAAAATCAAATTACTGAATTAAAAGAAAAGTTAAAGAATACAGTATGGAAAGAATGGAAGAAGAACAAGCTATCTCAGAAGAAATGATGAGAAAAGCAAAAGAAATAGTTAGGAAAGAATTTGAAGAAGAAATTACAGAAATGAAAATACAAATTAAAAAGATTCAAACGAATTATGAAGAAATGAAGAAAGAAAATGAAAAATTAGAAGAAGAAAACTTAAAACTACAAGGAAAAGTAAATGAGATAGAAGGAAAGAAAATCACAGAAGTAAATAATATAGAAGAAAAAATCCGAAGCATCCAAGCTAATAAAAAGAAGATGGAAAAAGAAAATGAAGGAATGAAAGAAGAAATTG